CAACAACACATGGCAACAACACATGGCAACAACACATGGCAACAACACATGACAACAACACATGGCAACAACACAACACATGTCAACAACACAAGGCAACAACACATGACAACAAACATGGCAACAACACATGGCAACAACACATGACAACAACACATGGCAACAACACAACACATGTCAACAACACAAGGCAACAACACATGACAACAAACATGGCAACAACACATGGCAACAACACATGACAACAACACATGGCAACAACACAACACATGTCAACAACACAAGGCAACAACACATGACAACAAACATGGCAACAACACATGGCAACAACACATGACAACAACACATGGCAACAACACAACACATGTCAACAACACAAGGCAACAACACATGACAACAAACATGGCAACAACACATGGCAACAACACATGACAACAACACATGGCAACAACACAACACATGTCAACAACACAAGGCAACAACACATGGCAACAAACATGGCAACAACACATGGCAACAACACATGTCAACACCCCGTCACCTGGTGCACCCGTCGCCGCATGGCGCCCCTGCGTCGGTCGAACCCCTTGAACTCCCGCAGGGGTCGGACCCCCACCTGGGGCGTGCCCCCCGACCCCTCCTCCGTGCTCACCCACTCCATGTACACATGGAGCGACCCAAACGGCTCCAGCTCCAGCTGCAATATTATATAATATATTTAGTACAATATAATTAATTAAAAATTAGGTATCAAGAAACATTATTCATAGGGAATTAGGCAAAAAAGATCATTATTCATATAAAATAAAATGAATAATATATCCAAGCAGCCAGAAGTCAGACATTTTATCCCAATACAAAATATTTATTAATTCTAGTTTTTTGAATAACAAAAAACATTATTCATATTAAATAAAATAATATATGTTATTATATTAACGCACCCAGAAGTCAGCCTTGTTCTCAGGCCCCTGGGCAAGCACGTTGTTCATTATTCATATTAAATAAGATAAATAAGAGTAACATTATTCATATAAAATAAATATAACCACTTACCCAGAAGTCAGCCTTGTTCTCATAGGCCCCGAGGCAATATATTTAACACAATATAATAAATTTAACACAAATTAACAAACATAATATACTAAATTTAACACCATTATATGNACCCCAGCACCGTGCCCCCCACCACCACGTCCTCGTATACTTCATTCCATACAGGGCTGAATGTCTTCTGTTTGGGCTGTGTGAGGGGAAATACAGTCTATTATACACCTTGAACCCCAGCACCGTGCCCCCCACCACCACGTCCTCGTATACTTCATTCCATACAGGGCTGAATGTCTTCTGTTTGGGCTGTGTGAGGGGAAATACAGTCTATTATACACCTTGAACCCCAGCACCGTGCCCCCCACCACCACGTCCTCGTATACTTCATTCCATACAGGGCTGAATGTCTTCTGTTTGGGCTGTGTGAGGGGAAATACAGTCTATTTATAGTATACTTCAGTCCATACAGGGCTGAATGTCTTCTGTTTGGGCTGTGTGGGGGGAGGGTGTAGTCCCTTGATCTGTGTCTTCTGTATAGACTGCTTATCTGTGTGGTCTATATAGATTGGTGATATGTGTGTTCTGTATGGATTGGTGATATGTGTGTTCTGTATAGATTGGTGATCTGTGTGTTCTGTATGGATTGGTGATCTGTGTGTTCTGTGTAGATCATTATAGCTCTTCACTTGTGTGCAGTTCTCTTCCATAGCCTCATTTGTTACAGATAAACAAACAAACTATTCAACATTAAAGTAAGTACATTCTAGATATATATTATAGAGACATACTCTAGATATTTATTTTAGCAACAAATAATATGTTATAATAAAATGCACAAAAGTTATACAGTTATACAAAAAATTCACCCCAAAATATTACAGACAAGGAAATGTAATATTGAACATGAAATTTATTATATATATTAGTTCCTATTAAAGATTCCCTCCAACTAATATAAATAAAAAGAGATAAATGATATCTTCAGATTTAAATCTCAATTTAAATGACCAAATAATTATTCATGAAATTTATTTCATATATATTAGTTCCTATTAAAGATTTCCTCCAACTAATATAACAAGAAAGAAAAAAACAATAAATATTCACATTTAAATGACACAATAATAAAATGCTATATTTCCTTCACCCGAGTTTGTGCCGTGTCTTGGTCTCAACTCACCAGAGTTTGTGCCTTGTTTTGGTCTCAACTCACCCGAGTTTGTGCCGTGTTTTGGTCTGAACTCACCAGAGTTTGTGCCGTGTTTTGGTCTAACTCACCCAAGTTTGTGCCGTGTTTTGGTCTAACTCACCCGTGTTTGTGCCGTGTTTTGGTCTTTACTCACCAAAGTTTTGTGCCGTGTTTTGGTCTAACTCACCCGAGTTTGTGCCGTGTTTTGGTCTTTACTCACCAAAGTTTTGTGCATCTGTCGCTCGTTGATCTCGAGGATGAGGTAGGGGTCGAGGGTCAGCTCCTGGGGGGATTTGACCCCCGGGACGCCCACGTATCGCTTCATCCTCTCCGTGAGCTGTAGCTCCTTGGCCTCGCAGATCTTCACTTTGAGGCGACCCGTGAACGTCGACATTGTGAGTCGTGGGGAGGGCGGGGAGGATATTTGTGCGAGTGACTCGGGGAGTCAAGTTGCCTCGGAATAAAAGCCAAGGCCAAGAGGCTCTTGACTTCTGAGGCCAAGAGGCTGTAAACTTCTGAGGCCAAGAGGCTGTAAACTTCTGGGGCCAAGAGGCTGTTGACTTCTGGGGCCAAGAGGTTGTTGAGTTCTGGGGCCAAGAGGCTGTTGACTTCTGAGGCCAAAAGGTTGTTGAGTTCTGAGGCCAAGAGGTTGAGGACTTCCCCGGCCACAAAGTGGTGATTTCTGGGGCCACTAGGCAGAGACCCTCTGAGGCCAAAAGGTTGAGAACTTCTGAGGCCAAAGGGTGGTTGACTTCTGGGGCCAAGAGGCTGTTGACTTCTGGGGCCAAGAGGCTGTTGACTTCTGGGGCCAAGAGGCTGTTGACTTCTGGGGCCAAGAGGCTCTGTTGACTTCTGGGGCTAAGAGGTTGTTGACTTATGGGACCGACCAAGAGGCTGTTGACTTCTGGGGCCAAGAGGCTGTTGACTTCTGGGGCCACAAGGTTAAAAAGTTTCAACCAACACGTGTCCTTGTATGTGTACAATTTAGGCACACTAATATGACATTAGTCAGTTGCCGTGAACAGGTTATACATGTGTTAACTGACGAATATACAGTGTGTAGCAGGTCACACAGCTCCAAGCTGTGTATGTGTTGGCCACACAAAACTTAATTCAGAAGTTCAATATACAAGATAATGGTTGTGATGACTAGAACCGTTGGGGGAGGGTTTTTGCACTGCAAACAATATAATATAATAATACTGCATTCAACTCATGAATGTTAATTCAATGTTATGGAGGCCATGGTTGGAATATTGGTAAAAAATAAGTAAATAAATAGGTTTTATTTTGTATATAAAGGTATTGTTTTTGGCGTAGAAGCTGTGGACGTTTCCTCCAATGATTCAGACTTGGCACTTGTTAGATAACATATGTTTTTAATCAATAAAATTAAGAGTATAAAATTCACATTTATAGCTCATAGGTTCTTCAAAATTCCATTTATTTGAGCACATTTAAATTTTTTACAACCACTGAATTATTTTTATTAAAGCACCAAATTATTATAAACAAATTCACCAGTAAAATAATGTATGTGGCACACAATTGATCAATCACAGCTAATAGAATTATTATCAATCTTAATAAGATTGATTTGACCACTTTATGTTCCACAAGAACCCGCAGTTCTGACCACTTTATGTTCCACAAGAACCCACAGTTCTGGCCACTTTATGTTCCACAAGAACCCGCAGTTCTGACCACTTTATGTTCCACAAGAACCCACAGTTCTGACCACTTTNGAACCTTGAATGAGAACTGAGAACCTTGAATGAGAACTGAGAACCTTGAATGAGAACTGAGAACCTTGAATGAGAACTGAGAACCTTGAATGAGAACTGAGAACCTTGAATGAGAACTGAGAACCTTGAATGAGAACTGAGAACCTTGAATGAGAACTGAGAACCTTGAATGAGAACTGAGAACCTTGAATGAGAACTGAGAACCTTGAATGAGAACTGAGAACCTTGAATGAGAACTGAGAACCTTGAATGAGAACTGAGAACCTTGAATGAGAACTGAGAACCTTGAATGAGAACTGAGAACCTTGAATGAGAACTGAGAACCTTGAATGAGAACTGAGAACCTTGAATGAGAACTGAGAACCTTGAATGAGAACTGAGAACCTTGAATGAGAACTGAGAACCTTGAATGAGAACTGAGAACCTTGAATGAGAACTGAGAACCTTGAATGAGAACTGAGAACCTTGAATGAGAACTGAGAACCTTGGATGAGAACTGAGAACCTTGAATGAGAACTGAGAACCTTGGATGAGAACTGAGAACCTTGAGTGAGAACTGAGAACCTTGAGTGAGAACTAAGGCTATATTTCATATAGGTATATAACTCAAAGGCTATATTTCATATATATAACTCAAAGGCTATATTTCATATATATAACTCAAAGGCTATTTTTCTTCACCATAACAACTCTTCAGAAAAGTTCAGGAGCCTCAATTCCTTTATTATACATGCCACTGTGCCACACATAACAGAAATTAGAACAAATAATGTTTTAATGCATAAGACATGGTCAGGCCCCTTGACAATATTCATAAAAAACATAAATAATAAAATATATTTTATGTCATTAAGACATAAAAAACATAAATAATAAAATATTTTTTATGTCATTAAGACATAAAAAATTAGATCAGTACGTGCTCACTGCAGTGAGTGACAGAGAGCGCATTTTCTCGTCTGTCCGTGAAGTCACTCACAGACAGACGGACGGACGGACATGACAAGCACAATAGCGCCTTCATTTCCATAAAGCACCTTTTTATCCATAAATGAGAAAATAGGCTAAAAACAGTGTTTTTCTTTCCATGAATGGACATTGTCTCACAAATTTATTATTGAACTATTATTGAATATTATTTATTATTATATATTATATAATTGAATATATTTAAGTCCCTTAGAAAGTGAATGCCTTGTTGGCTTAATGTTTTGAAGAGATTATTTTTTATTTGATCCAGGGTGCGTACCAGTATTTAGAAAAAAATTCCATGACTTTTCCATGACCTAGTTCTAGTAATCTTTGAATGTTAACTGAAAAGAGAGAAGTTGGTGCAGCAGAACAAAACTTTGCCAGAGCATGTACAAGATGTGTTTCAAACCTACACATCCACTTGTATATTTATTTCATCTTACAATTTTATTATGAATCCGTTTTTCTCTGCTCTTTCCAAATGGAACGGCTTGGCATTAATAGATTAATACATGCAGCACAGAAAAACACTTCCTTTTTTCTTCATTTATTTGCAAATTCTATGCTTTTCCATAACCTGAAAATGAAAAATTAAATTCCATGACTTACCAGGTTTTCCATGACTGGTACACACCCTGTTGATCTTTTTTAAATCAATAAATGTGGTGCATTGCTGGCCAACTTGGAAAATTGAGCTAAAGCCACCCATAAATTGGGCAACAACGCCCATGAATTTAGCAAATTTTACTCATTCCAATGGCCCTTTCCCAATTAGTGTTCTAAAAAATAAGAAAAACAACCCATTTTCACCCGTAATTTTAAGAAAAGCCAGCCTGTACAAAAAACAACCCATTTTCACCCAAGATTTAGGAAAAGTCAGCCCGATATTCCAGATTGGGTTGACGGCTTTGACTAAAGGTCAAGCCGCAGGTCTACAAACTCCAAATTTCAATTCCCAAAGACATGGAAGCTGCACTCAATACTCAATAGCATTAATTTTTCATGAATAATTTCAATTATTATTTAAATTAACCATTTATTTATAACAATTAGCTGCAGTGCTGTAGCACATTTTTGCAAGCAATTTTCAAATATCACATATAAAACCATCTTTCATTCTGGAAAAATTTCTTATAAATTATGCTTGGTGTTCCAGATCAGATAAAGGAAACAATTACTTTCAATTACTAGCTATATAAAGCCGCAAGATTTCAGGGTAAAATTTTCGGAATAATGGCTCTTTTCAAAAATATTCAAGATTGATCCAGCCAACAACTTGATGATTTGATCACTTCCATTAGCCAAATATCCAACAAAAATGACTGATATTTCAAATGATTCAGAATTTTTATTTTAACAAGCTGTTTAGCCTATAAATTACTTTTTAATTGGAAATCGTTATCCTTTTCATTTTTAGGGTAAATTAACATCTCGTATAGGGTATAATGAACAAAGCTTGGAAAATATATTGATGAGTGATGACATAAAACTCACACTCACAGCTCATGAATAGGTACTAATAATTGATACACAATCGATAACTTAAAACACGTGGAAAGGTTATAAAAAATTCAACTATGACTCGTCGAGACGTCGACTCTATCGGACGTCGAGTATATATAGATATTGTCGAAAACTGCCCCCAGTTTATTCCTAAGTATAAACCTATCACAACGGGAAAGTAACACAACAGAGCTAGTGGCAAATAAGTATGGGAAATTCGTAAAAGTTTAATGGTCATCAGATAAGTATTAAAGTAGTACACTATGTTCAATTAAACAGCTTCATCTAAGAAATACGCACAGCACGTAAGAGTTTAACAGTGTGACACTGAAACGATACCACTTTCCTCAGAATCCGATAACGCGATAAACAGGTCTTGATAACGCGTACCTATCTCCGAGAGATCAAGGGAAGGAGCGAAACGAGTCATTCGCTATTAAACACAACAATTATCTTCACTTTAATATATTATAACACTAATTTTCAACAAAGATTTAGAGGAAACTTAGTAATGAGAAGCTTGAGCTTCCTGGAGGCTGGATTCAATGACACGATCGCATTCAAGCAATGGCTCTGTCACTCCAAATGGCAGTTATTAATCATAGCATAACAACAACCTGGTAACGATAGAAGTTATTTGGAAGGAAACAGCGCCTACGTTAACTCGTATCAAATCACCAACCTAAGCAAGATAAGGAAACAGTCTTCACCACCCTTATCCACTCGATAAAACTGTTATACACATAGCGTAACTTTTCTCAACACATCAAAGATGGTGAACTTCGTTTCCTCCTGCTAGATGGCGCTTTATCATCCGTAATAATCTATTCAGATGCAGCGATAGACATCATGTTCATCGATTATTATTTCATTCCTGAGAGGAATTAGTTTTCCCAATTAAAATGTCATGATTTATAATTTCATATATGCGCACGCAAAAAAAAAACTTTTAATTCTGAATATAAAACAAATCAAGAAGATGCATTTAGAATTATGAAAAAAACATTTGTCATTAATATATTCCATGAGTAGTATACTATACGATTCTTATTCTAATTTTTTTATGTTATAGTGTTATTTTTATTGTAATTAATATATCCTCCGTAGCACCAGAGCTTGGGCGAACTACTTCAAATGAACATTATATAAAAATATGTCATGTAAAAGAGTTTAATTTATCATTAATTATTGAATGTACAGGCATCAATAGTAGTTTATTTGAATATACAAGCGTGACGCAGCATGGCGCTATGACGTCACGCGAGAGCTTACGTAAACATCCACCAGAGTGCAGCGTGATGTTATCGCGCGTTGAAGTGTGTTATCAGTGCGCACGGCCACATCACAGATAAGGTTGGTCGACTCGACTTTATCGCAATAAATCCATAACATTCACTTACTTCAAAGGTACACGGCCGACTGTACAGNAAGTCCAGCTCAATTATGCAAAATTCGCATTACTTACTAATATGTTGTCTAAACAGAAATGTGTTCTCACTATGTTAACTTCTAATTAGTTATGATGATATGAGATATATCAGGGCAGGGTGGCCCAGTGGTTACAGTCCAGAGTATCAGAACATTGAGTTGCGAGTTCGAGACCACAACAAGCTGTGAATATTCTGTGATGTTAAGAACAGGCGACAGGCCTACGGCCTAATAAACGCCAATTAATTATTATTATTAGAGCAAACAGCCTAGTTTGCTTCAGTGTAATGATTCAATTATTAAACTTGTTAAATAATGAAAGCAAGATCCTGATATTTAAGGTGTATCACAATTCAAATTAAGTCTAAATAATGTAACACAGTCACTGTATCCACAGTCTTCTGAGCATCATTATTCGGAACGTTTTCATTAATTATCAAGTTAATTACCTTTGAAGGGATGATAGAAATATTATTCATTTATTAGATAGAATAAATTTGATTTTATGATCAATACTAATGAGCATTTATACGCTAAATTTATTACTGATATATTTGTGAGATCAGGAAAAAAAATCTAAATTTTTCAAGCCATTTTAGAATTTAAAATCATTTTCGATAACAAATGTTATAGACCTTAACTAATGTTATAGAGAACTACATAACATTTACAGTTGAGAAGGAATAAAACAATATCATTTGTTAATATTTATTCAGAAATAACTGCCTAATATTCAGTTATAACAACTCAGATGTACTGTACAATACAAGCGGAGTACAGGACCAGTGCTCTCACTGCCGCCGTCTGCACATTGTTGGAACTGTCGGCCGTGGCGAATTACTAAATAAAAGACTAGTTGGGCACCCTAAATGTCATTACATAAACAAAAGCCTAGTTGGCACCTACCATAACATAAAAGCCTAGATGGCACCCTTCAAGTCTCGTTACTGCCATAACATAAACAAAAGCCTAGTTGGCACCTGCCATAACATAAACAAGAGCCTACTTGGCACCCTACAAGTCTCGCTACTGCCATAAAATAAACAAAAGCTTAGTCGGCCCCTGCCATAACAAACAAAATCCTAGTTGTCACCTGCCATAACATAAATAAAAGCCTAGTTGGCATCTGCCATAACATAAACAAAGGCTAATCATTGTTCCGAGAATGTGCAGAACGTTTCAGTGCAGGTACCTTCCCAGGAGCGCATACACTCATAAAATGAATGGGTCATATTATCCATATAGAGACGCACTTTCTCGCGTAGCACGGATACGCTAATTTGCAGGGATTAACTTGGTCAGGATGAACTACACTTAGGCGAAAAAGTGCATCAATATACGGGAGTTTCACCCATTTCCCCGAGTATATATAAGGCGGTCGCTGGCGGTTACGACTCAGTAGCTGGCGACGGCCAGCGCGGAGAGGAGGGCGAGTGCCGTCACTCCGTAGCCCGACTTGTAGAGCGTGCGCAGCGTGAACCCGTAGCCCAAGTCCCACGCCTGAACACGTTAGGCTCATTAAAACTCAGCACATTTCAAGGTATAACTCAAGTTTTATGAGGTTATTACTTACGGCGATACAGCAATTAAATGAATGTTAATTATACATCAAGTATAGCTTCTCTCTTTTGATGTATAATTAGCGTTTATATCGTTAGAATTCGGCAGAGTTCACGCTACATTACATTAAAAATGATTTAGATAGATACATTAAATGAATATAATATGTAGATTAGATGAATGTATTCAACAACAGGACCATCGATTCAACAGGCAAGCCATCGTTACATATTCAATTACAGCGGCCGAGTGGTTAAGGTCATTAGAGAGGTAGTGTGTTGCGGGTTCGAAACTTGCAGATGGGAAAAATTCTGCGCGCCGTTGAAGGCGTGGAACAGGAAGGGGAAGGCAGGTACTCACAAGATGGCGGACGCCGTTGAAGGCATGGAACAGGAAGGGGAAGGCAGGTACTCACAAGATGGCGGACGCCGTTGAAGGCATGGAACAGGAAGGGGAAGGCAGGTACTCACAAGATGGCGGACGCCGTTGAAGGCATGGAACAGGAAGGGGAAGGCAGGTACTCACAAGATGGCGGACGCCGTTGAAGGCATGGAACAGGAAGGGGAAGGCAGGTACTCACAAGATGGCGGACGCCGTTGAAGGCATGGAACAGGAAGGGGAAGGCCATGCAGAACTTGACGGTGAAGACGACGGCGGCGCCGTAGTGCGCCTGGGAGAGCAGCGCCACGTAGTAGGGGTAGGAGGCGGGCAGCACCAGCATGCCTGGGCACCCGCATGCTTATTTATATATTTATAATAATAATAATAATATTGATAACAATAACGATAATAACAATAGCAGTAATAATAATAAATAATGATAACAATAATAATATTGATAATGTCCGGTGTCACTTCACTTGACCTGATAGAGATTGAGGACGAGTCAACATCTGACAGACACGTGATAGATCACGCGATCAAGACCGCAGTAGTGGGCGGAAGCGAAGGCTATATAAGGGCTAGCAACCTTAAGCAAACCCCCCAGTAGCTGATGAGCACTCCGCGATGTAGCGTGTAGCTTGAGTCTCCGACCTTACGGTCGATTCCGTAGCTTATTCTTCTGTATCGCAACTCTGTATTACCACCCCGTATACTGTATCGCAACTCTGTATTACCACCCCGTATACCTCTGTATCGTAACTCTGTATTACCACCCTGTATACCTCTGTATCGCAACTCTGTATTACCACCCTGTATACCTCTGTATCGCAACTCTGTATTACCACCCCGTATACCTCTGTATCGCAACTCTGTATTACCACCCCGTATACCTCTGTATCGTAACTCTGTATTACCACCCCGTATACCTCTGTATCGCAACTCTGTATTACCACCCCGTATACCTCTGTATCGCAACTCTGTATTACCACCCCGTATGCAAGATACGTTATCTGCTGGACTTATGCGTTATCTATCAGATGTTGACTCGTCCTCAATCTCTATCAGGTCAAGTGAATTGACACCGGACAATAACAATAACAATAATAATAATGATAAAACCAATATTAATAATAATAATAATAATAGCAATACCAATAATTAAATTTTAGTTATTATGGTTAGCATATGTTAGTTATATGTTATGTTAAATGCAATTTACTTTACAGTTACGTAGCCAAGCAAATATAGAGGGTAAAATATATATTTATGTTACAAGGTAAAATACTATAAAATTTTATATCAAAGCAAATATAAAAGACCAGCCTGGAGGACAGCCTCCCTAGGGCTGGAGGACAGCCTCCCTAGGGCTGGAGGACAGCCTCCCTAGGACTGGAGGACAGTCTCCCTAGGACTGGAGGACAGCCTCCCTAGGACTACCGACGCCCGTTACAATGACCGTTACAAACGGTTGTGGAACCCCTTGTTTACAATGACCGTTACATGTAACGTTCAATGGCCGGAATAAATCCCAATCCTGGGCCGCGAATCTGGATATGCGCAGTTTGTAATAAAACCATTTAAACAAAACGCAATATTACATACGACATGCTACAAGTGGTACCACATGGTCGCCTGCTCAACGTAAATTAACAACTACTTTCTTAACAACTACTTTCTTTTAACAATTACTACTTTTCTCAACGCAAATTAAAAACCACTTTCTTTGCAACAATTGCCCAAGGCCTCTTCCTCCCTCTCCCCCACCCGCCGTCCGGGCACCAAGGGCCCGTCCATCCAACGTCCGGGCACCAGGGGTCCGTTCATCCGACGTTCGGGCACCCAGGGTCCGTCCATCCGACGTCCGGGCACCCAGGGTCCGTCCATCCGACGTCCGGGCACCCAGGGCCCGTCCATCCGACGTCCGGGCACCCAGGGCCCGTCCATCCGACGTCCGGGCACCCAGGGCCCGTCCGCTCACCCCAGCCATTCCGCCTGCGCGTCCCAGCTCACCCAGCACCCACTGGAACCCTGAAGATTCTCAAGTTTAACAGAAACAAATCTGACGAAATAGAACTCTTTCTGGCCACCCACAACATACAAGTAGCAGCCATCCAAGAAACAAAACCTTTCTGTTTCCTTTTTAGCGCATTTTCTCATTTATGGAAAAATGCACTATTGTGCTCGCCATGTCCGTCCGTCCGTGACCTCAAGTTTTCGTCGACGAGAAAATGCGCTCTCTGTCACTCACTGCAGTGATTACTGAGTTATATTTTTTTTCTTGCAGCTCATTTCCATCACTGACGAAAAATTTCCATAAAAGAAACAAACCTTTTTTGTTTCTCTTTTCTTCCTGCTCCAAAGACCCGAAATTTAACAACTTCGCTGTCTTCCAATGACAAGGACGCTAAATCCTACCGACCAATCTCCTTGTTTTGCCCCGCCATCAAAGTACTAGAAAGATGTTTGCTACACTGTTAGAAAAATTACCGTTAACGGTAATACCGACGTTTCAGTGGCCGGTCGGCGCGTGAAAAGAAACACCATTTCACCGTTTTTATTCCAATTTAACACCAGAAATCCGTAAAACATCTGATAAAAACGGCGAAACAGTTTATTTTCACGGGGCGACCGGCCACTAGGATGCCGACGGGACCGTTTTTTCACCGTTTTTCTAACAGTGTACCTAGTATCACTTAACACCTGCCCCTAGCTGATCATCAACATGGATTCAGGCCCGGATATTCGACCACGTCTGCACTCACTCTTCTCACTTCAGACATCATCTACGGTCTAAACCAAAAGAGGCCCGCTCACTGAACCATTATCACCGCACTGTGAAAGCACTCTCAGGCACCTCCTTTGGACAAGACAAGGAAACTCTACTACAAACATACAAAGCCATCGGCCGCCCAATAATTGAGTACGCCAGCCCAGCTTGGTCTCCTGTCACCTCTCCTACCAACATCACCCGCCTCCAAACAGTTCAAAACTCTGCTCTGAGAACCATAACCGGTTGCCACAACACAACTGCCGTGGTATAAGGTATATGGTATATGGTTCTATGTCTCTCGTCACCTCTCTTAACAACATCACCCGCCTCCAAACAGTTCAAAATTCTGCTCTGAGAACCATAACCGGTTGCCAGCTTGCCACAATACAGCTGCCATGGTATAAGGTATATGGTATAAGGTATATGGCACCATGATATATGGTATATGGTTCTGTGTCTCCCGTCACCTCTCCTACCAACATCACCCGCCTCCAAATAGTTCAAATTTCTGCTCTGAGAACCATAACCGGTTGCCACAACACAACTGCCGGCTGAGAACCATAAGAACCACACTGAGAAGTTGCCACAGTTGTGTTGTTGCCATAACACAACCGCCGAACAACATCTTCACTTCGAATGTCAAATGCCCACTGTTCAACAGCATACGGACCTCCTCTCAGCCCAGTCCCTTCTGCGGAGCCACGTCCAGACCCTCTCCTCAGGGTCCAAACCCTCTCTTCAGGGTCCAGACCCTCTCCTCAGGGTCCAGGCCCTCTCCTCAGGGTCCAGAACCTCTCCTCAGGGACCAGACCCTCTCCTCAGGGTCCAGACCCTCTCCTCAGGGTCCAGACCCTCTCCTCAGGGTCCAGACCCTCTCCTCAGGGTCAGACCCGTCTCTTATACACATCTAGATGTGTATAAGAGACAGTTTTAGNCCCTCTTTTCAGGATCCAGACCCTCTCCTCAGGGTCCAGACCCTCTCCTCAGGGTCCAGACCCTCTTTTCAGGATCCAGACCCTCTCCTCAGAGTCCAGACTCTCTCTTCAAGGTCCAGACCCTCTCTTCAGGGTCCAGACCCTCTCTTCAAGGTCCAGACCCTCTCTTAAAGGTCCAGACCTTGTCTACAGCAACCCACAGACCTCCTCGCAGCCCAGTCCCTTCTGCAGAGCCACCTCCCTCAACATGCCAGCCACCAAATCACAACAGGGCCCAACCCCGCAACATCAGAGATACTCTTTTCATCAAATAAATAAATGTCGTTCAACCATCACTCCCAACCAATATTAACAGTGCCACCCTCAAAGCAGCTCGCAGCCCTCTCCATTCCAACGCTGCCATAGACTTGTACCAAATGCCAGTACTTTTCAACGGCAGGCCTCCTCTGCTCCCAGAAATAGATAAATCTGAACAAACACTAAAAGAACTAAAAAGAACTAAACAGAAAGTTCTGCTAGACGAACGCTGGCACAGCTTCGCTCCGGCCACTATATACTCCTGAATGTTATATATATTCACTTCTCACTATATTCACTACACTATATACTCCTGAATACTATATATTCACTACTCACTATATACTACTCACTATATTCACTACACTATGTACTCCTGAATATTATATACCCTATATTCACTACTCACTATATTCACTACACTATATACTCCTGAATATATACTATATACACAAGCAGAATTCATAACAACATCAATAACCTGCGCAACTACTGCCACCTCTCCCTGGATGATGTGCCCCACCTCTCAGCACCGTAGACCTTTAAAGGGACCCATGCAGTCTAAGACTGGGGTCCTGGGGACTAAGACTGGTGTCCCCCCCAAAATGACTGGGTCCCCTGTAGACCTTTGGAGGGACCCATGCAGTCTAAGACTGGGGTCCTGGGGACTAAGACTGGGGTCTCCCCCAAAATGACTGGGTCCCCCCGTAGACCTTTGGAGGGACCCATGCAGTCTAAGACTGGGGTCCTAGGGACTAAGACTGGGTCCCCCCGTAGACCTTTGGAGGGACCCATGCAGTCTATGACTGGGGTCCTGGGTACTAAGACTGGGTCCCCCCGTAGACCTTTGGAGGGACCCGTGCAGTCTAAGACTGGGGTCCTGGGGACTAAGACTGGGTCCCCCCCCCCCGTAGACCTTTGGAGGGACCCGGCTGCCGTTATGCGTTGGCTTCAGCCACGGCTGGACCAGTGACGCCGGGATCGGGGGAGGGGCAACAACAACACATAGCACAGGAGGACAGCCTCCCTAGGGCTGAAGGACAGCCTCCCTGGGGCTGGAGGACAGCCTCCCTAGGGCTGAAGGACAGCCTACCTAGGACTGGAGGACAGCCTCCCTAAGTCTAAAGGACAGCATCTCCAAGTCTGAATGACATAGGGCTTATGGACAGCCTCTCTAGGGCTGGAGGACAGCCTCCCTAGGGCTGGAGGACAGCCTCCCTAGGGCTTATGGACAGCCTCCCTATGACTGGAGGACAGCCTCCCTAGGACTGGAGGACAGCCTCCCTAGGGCTTATGGACAGCCTCCCTATGACTGGAGGACAGCCTCCCTAGGACTGGAGGACAGCCTCCCTAGAGCTGGAGGACAGCCTCCCTAGAGCTGAAGGACATAGGGCTTATGGCCAGCCTCCATAAGTCTGATGGACGCACCGATGCCAAAGCCAGACAAGAGGGAGGACAGGAGGACGCCGGTGGCCCGGTGTGAGATGCTCAGCACGGAGGTCAGCTGGGGCTTGTAGATGGACAGGTGGGGGCTGAGGGGGCGGCCCAGACGCTGGTTCTTGGCAAAGTATTCCTCAGTGGGGGGCNATATCATTAATATAATAAATATATCATTATTATAATAAATATATCATTAATATAATAAATATATAATTAATATAATAAATATATAAGATATGCATGCGTATGTCAACTCACTGCAGGGGTCGCCATAGCAGCTGCGTGGGGCGACTGGCGACGGCTCCCCCCATCCTGCCCCCGGCAACAGCTTTATTTATTGTTATTTGTTATAATACTATTTACTATTAAACAAATAATTTAAATACAATAGACAATACATTTTTAAGAATATAGAATTTAATAGAATTTTTTATATTTTTTTCTATATATTCTTTTTTAAGAATATATAGAATTTTGTTATTCTTGTTAAATTCAAAATATGAACCTGAACTTGTTAAATTAAAAAAAAATACTATTTATTATTAAATAAATAATTTAAATATAATAGACAATACAGCTTTATTTTTCTGTTATTTCTGTTATTTTAAATAATACTATTTACTACTAAACAAATAATTTATATATAATAGACAATACAGCTTTTAATTAAATAAACTTTAAATAGTAGACAATCACATTTTTTTTATTCTTGTTAAATTCAAAATATGAACCTGAACTTGTTAAATTAAAAAAAAAATACTATTTATTATTAAATAAATAATTTAAATATAGTAAACAATACATTTTTCAATTTAAATAAGCTTTAAATAGTAAGCAACTAAATTTTTTTTATTCTAATCAAAATCTCACAAAATGAACAATTTTCAAACATTTAATTTATAGCTAATTTCAAATGAAAAAACTGATTTTTCTTTTCATTCTAATAAGATCTCATTTAAAAAACAAACTTCAACATTTTATTTATAGCAAAATTCTAATGAAAAAAACTGATTTTTTTCATTTTGATCAAAATCTTACAAAATAAACAATTTTTGCACATTTAATTTACCTATAGCAAAATTCTAATAAAAAATTATGAAGCTGAAATAATCTAATAAAAATAATCTAATAAAAATATGAAAATATTCTAATAAAAAAATTATGAAGATGACAAATTTTGCAGTTAACAAAGCAAATTCTTATGCAAAAATTACTTCAAAATAGATGCTATACTTTCTAAATAAAATTGGGAAATTTGGTAGAAGCCACCATGAAACGAGACAAAAATAATTGCAAAGTTTCTGTCAAAGTTTTTGACAGAAAGTGTCAATAATTGCAAAGTTTCTGACAAAAATAATTGTCACTAGTAGTTTCTGTCATCCTTATATTAGGTAAAAAATACAAAAGATGGCGCACAAAAATCAGCTGTGAAACAATTCTCTTAACCTCTTCATGACTGATGAGACTTCTCGGTCCCAAACCACCAGGTAGGAATAGCATTAATGATGGTATTAGTGATATGATGGTATTGATGGTAATGGTATAATGATGGTATACCATTAATGATGGTATACCATTGATGATGGTATACCATTGATGATGGTATACCATTGATGATGGTATACCATTGATGATGGTATACCATTAATGATGGTAGGTAATGGTATATACCAAAATGGTATATACCATTAATGATGGTATACCATTGATGATGGTAGGTAATGGTATATACCAAAATGGTATATACCATTAATGATGGTATACCATTGATGATGGTATACCATTAATGATGGTAGGTAATGGTATATACCAAAATGGTATATACCATTAATGATGGTATACCATTGATGATGGTAGGTAATGGTATATACCAAAATGGTATATACCATTAATGATGGTATACCATTGATGATGGTATACCATTGATGATGGTATACCATTAATGATGGTATATGTAGTCGTGACTAGAGCGTTAACCTGGGATTCTGGTTAAATTTTGTCTAAAACTTCACATTGGAATGCCGGCAACAATTTAGAAAGACTATTAGGAAAAAGCCATAGAAAATAATGAAATTTGATAAAAATAAAATGAAATTTAAAATAATTTCTGACTTGTTTATGGGTGGCTTTAGCCCAATTTCTCAGTTTAGCTCCTGTCTGTGTCTTTGGTGCACAAAATGCTTTTTGCAAATTTTTTTTCTTAACCATTTCAGATAAATTGGAAAAAAACCATCCATGAATGATATAGGGAAACCCATTCTTGAGGTCATTTTCATCAATTTTTATCGCCTTTGTCAATTTTTCCAAAAAATATAGTGCCCAGCTTGACCTGCTTTTTAAGAAAATTTCAATTTGTAATCTCCATTTTAATTGTAATCTCCAAAATTTGTCATTTTGTAGATTAATGTGAAATTGGCTATAAAACTACTATTTTAACCTATGATTCATTGGAAAACTCTGCCCAATATTCTAGATTGGATTGCACTTGTAGCTAGTAGCAGTGAAACTGACATATTTACCAAGCACAATTTGAGATATTTGGAATTTACATTTCATTTACAAAGCGCAATTTGGGATATTTGGCAGGAGTTCAGTGGCTGAAATGATTGATGTTTATGATTGACTTTAAAAGATTGCGTGTAAATTAGGCAGTTTCTGTTATTTTCATTGAAAAAATTGGGGATATACCAGAGGAAAAGGTGATATTCACCAGATTAATGGGCATTTTTGTACAATAAAGGGTGGCTTCTGCCCAATTTTCACTTATCATCAAAGCAAAAATATCACATTAGAGTGAGCTAAATCGCCCCTATTATGAAGCAAAATCATTTGAAAATCTATTTGCAGAGGTGGGCAGTAGGGCACTACATGTAGCAGCCGCTACATTTTCAGCAGCGGTAGCGGCGCTACATTTAAGCAATTGTAGCGGTAGTGCTGGCGCCTGCCACATTTAGAGCATGTAGCGGTGGCAGTAGCGGCCGCTATATTTCAAAGTTTCGCTGCCCAATTCTGTCTATTTGTTAGAATCTTGAAAGTGAAATATGGAGATGTAATATGAAATGATTTACAGTTTGAATATTGTCTAATGACTTCCATGGTTTAGAAATGGCTTCTCAAAATTGAACTCACGGCCACCAATTCAATAGGTAACTCTTGGCTCCATAAACTGTGGTTTGGAGAGCAAATCTTTTCTATACCATAAACCAACATGGAAAATATGTTAGAAGCTAACAATGAATCATTGAATGAGAAAAAATGCCTGTGATTGCAGGCAGTTTCATCTGTTTCTATGGCCCTAGCTAGTAGCTTTTATGGGGGAAACATCTTCAGTCTGAGCTGCAACTAGAATTTTCCCTTAATTTTTCTAGAAATGTAGGCAACCTGCTAGGTGAATCATGTCTCATCTAGTTTTCAAAAAATGATTACAATTGATAATGTCACTTGATTTACTATCTTGAATTCCAGATTTACTAGAAATTTCAAAGCAAAGAAAAGTCCACAAAAATTCAGCATAACTTGTTTTCAATCAAGATATGCTAAATTTTTGTGGAGTTTTCTTTGCTTTCAAATTTCTAATTATTACAATCAAGCCATGAGATTCCAATTGTATTGAAAATTTGTCATTTTGGAACTGCAAAATTTCTGTCACAGTTGTAGGTTAAAATTCCAATACTGCCTTGCTCAATATTATTGACAAAACTAGAGTATAAAATTGAGTACATTACCCAAGAAATTATTTCTTTTGTTATTTATAATTTTATAGCAAATTCTGTTTTGCCCAATATTGCAAATATAAATACCATCAATGCAAATAACTGTTAATGCCCTTCAATATAAACAATCTATTTTTAGCACATTTTCTCATTTATGGAAAAAAATGCACTATTGTGCTTGCCATGTCCGTCTGTCCGTGATCTCAAGTTTTCGTTGACAAGAAAATGCGCTCTGTCACTCAATGCAGTGAGTACTGAGTTATATTTTTAAAATAACACTGTCTGGTAAAGACCAACATAATTTTGTCATCTCTCTCAGCTGTTACATTGATAGCTTATGTGGCCCAGTGGTTACAGTTCAGAGTACCAAGATTGGCGCAGAGACACTTGGTCACCGTACAGATGCAACATGTTTGTTTGCTGGAGCTAAATTTCATGGTTTTAGAACTGTAATATAATGGTTTTTCATGGTTTTAAAACCAATAAAACTGTTGAGAGCCTTGCGTACAGTCACCCCACCTTGTCACACAATTCATTATAGTATAAATATAAGTATTTAGTGTGTCTTCCAGTCTTGCTTTTAAATGGCTTTTCAGGGCCAGTATATGGAATTCAGGGCTCAAAGAAATAGAATAATGTCACAAAAAATAGAATAATGGCTCAAAGAAAAAGAATCATGGCTTAAAGAAATAGAATCATGGGCCCATGGCTTAAAGAAATAGAATCAGGGCTCAAAGAAATAGAATCACGGCTCAAAGAAATAGAATGGCTCAAAGAAATAGAATCACGGCTTAAAGAAATAGAATAATGTCACAAAAAAATAGAATAATGGCTCAAAGAAATAGAATCATGGCTTAAAGAAATAGAATCATGGCTTAAAGAAATAGAATAATGTCACAAAAAAATAGAATAATGGCTCAAAGAAATAGAATCAGGGCTCAAAGAAATAGAATCACGGCTCAAAGAAATAGAATCATGGCTCAAAGAAATAGAATCATGGCTCAAAGAAATAGAATCACGGCTCAAAGAAATAGAATAATGGCTCAAAGAAATAGAATCACGGCTCAAAGAAATAGAATAATGGCTGAAAGAAATAGAATAATGGCTCAAAAAAAAATAGAATACCCGGTAATGGCTCAAAGAAATAGAATCATGGCTCAAAGAAATAGAATCATGGCTAAAAAAATAGAATCATGGCTCAAAGAAATAGAATCATGGCTCAAATAATCCAGTTGTGGTCCGGAGAGTACCGGTACCTAGATATTTTCCCCATTTCCCCACTAGATTGTGATGCCTAACAGCATTGGTAATCTTATTTGTGTGCTATCTTCACAAAAGCCATGACATATGCCCTAGTCTGGAAAAGTCCTATTTTTGTCTGAAATATCGCGGCTCTAATATCATATAATTTCAGTAGGTATGAAATCTCGCGGCTCACACT